ACACGATTATTAATAACTTTGCGATTTAGAGTTGCCGCTAAGGTTTTGCCTTGAAATAACGGTGGTGGGACATTAGGCATTTAAGTATCATAGGTATAAGTACGGTTGGCATACGTATGTTAGACATACAGACGTTAAGCATAACGGGCATAGTATTGAACTAGTGAAATGCACGGTAGGCATACTGTTGTTTATTTTTCCGGAAAATCATTCTCAAATCTCATTCATTGAGCCTCCTAGCGAGGATGAACTCGCATGCGAATTCGGCAAATAAAATTCGCACTTGAGATTCTCATACATATTCACACACTCATGCGAAACATTATTCCAGCTTTAAACTCATAAAAACCATTCAAACGTCAATTGATTGCATGCTTGTGCATGTTGTGTAAGTAGGGATTAGGGATCCTAAGTAACAATCCAGTAACCATTTAGCATCCACTCTGATTTATGAAGGTTTTATAAAGGTAATTAACAATCCAATTAGTTTAAATATAGCATTTCAAAGTGTAAAACATTCCTGATTAGTAATTCAGCTTTTTGCTGTTTTAAAAACCTTTTACAGTGTGGCAAAAAAGTAAAAAACTGTCTTGTTTTAAAAATAAATTTTAAACAGTTATAAATCCCTCCTTTAAACTCTTATGTAATTCAAGCATAAACATCATTAACAATTGTTTATTAATATCTTGATAAAATACTTTATAAACGTGTTCTATCATTATAAAAGCAACCATAAAACCATTAGGTTTTGCATTAGAGCAAATAGCATTTATTGTTGCTTTTTAGGCTTTTTAAAGTGCATCACTCCCCAATTACTCTGTTTACAAATAGAGCTTAAAAGATGTTTCCTTATAGTTAATAAATGCCATATTTATGACAAGGAAATCTCGAAGGATAGACGAAGTAGGATGAAAAATTCAAGTCGATTTCAGCAAAATCAACGACTGACCATCTGGCGGAGAAGAGTAAAGTGGCCCTCGAATTCATAAAACATTGTCGAAAGTTTTAAAACATACCAGCCTTCTCCAGATCTTGCGAAAAGATGACAATCGAAATAACAACCTACAGCAAACCACTGAACTGTTAGTTAGCGGAGATTAGCTGGTTTCCGATCCATAGCAGCGATTTTATTCGGCGAAGGAATCAACTCTTCGAAAATTTCATTCAAGCGTACATCCCTGTATCGTTGGATGGTGCGGATGGTAACCATCCGGAAGGAGGGGATCTTTTTCGGGAACGGTTGCGCTTTCAGCAGTATCGCAAACTATCTGAGTAACTGCTCCCAATCCATCGGGAGAAACCCGTCTGGAAGAATCCTGGCGCAACTATCGAAAGATAAACAAACTTTGACGTTTAACTTTTTGCAGGCAACTTTGCCTTCATAAATACTGCCATAAATCTGAACGGGTTAGGATCAAGCAAAATGGCTTTAGATAAATACAATTAAGCCTGCAAGTTTTCTGCATAAAAGCCATTTTAAACCCTTATTAATTTGTTAAGGAATTCTTGAAAGCAAAACAACTTTTTCACAAAAGACCCATGAAAATCAACTTTTATGCCACCGCCATGTTACCGTTAGTTTGCTTGTTTTTTACAATCTTCAATTTTCAATCAATATTTCCTTAGATATAATTATATTTTGGTAAATTTAGCAATGAGCAAACATTTAAATGCGAAAATAATAAAAAAAAGTCTCGGCCAAGCTCGATCTGAAGAACATTTTTTTTTTCAATTTTAAATAATTAATCAAATCGATGTTTTACGAGGGTGGACTTAATTTTTTCGATGTCTTCACATATATTTCACAAAGAATTTAATATGGCACTTAAAACTAGTCACTTAAAACACTTAATGAGAACTATTGTAATAAATTTGGATATACAACAAGATTTTTATACCATAAGTTTTTATTTTAATTATTTTGATAAGATCGGATTCAAAAATCCTTTTCTATCTTGATTGATGCCGGAAATGGCTCAGAAAGGGTTTTTATTATTGCTAAATAACTTCTGTTGTAGCTTTCAAATGGTTCTCAATGCGTTCGTCATACAACTTTTTGCAGTAAATCTATCTTGAAGAGCTTCGAGAATACACCCTTCAGAACCTTCTCCAGGGTGGGCCAACTAGACATATTCTAGTCTTCATGAGGTTTTGTTGGATGCATTAATGACAAAATAGCCTTGACCAGGGTTTTATGAATGTTGTTTTATAGTTCTTCTTCTTCTTGTTCTTAGCGCATATTAGCTTATTGCGTGCTCTCAACTTAGTGTTTTAAATGCACTTCCACAGTTGTTAATTGAGAGCTTTCGATGCCAATACCAATGCATGAATTTGTATATTGTGAAGCAAGCACAATGATACTCTATGCCCAGGGAAGTCGAGAAAATTTCCAATCCGAAAGATATCCTCGACCGGAGCGGTAATCGAACCCGTCGCCTCCGGCTTGGTAATACCGTGCCTTTACTGACTAGGCTATGAGCCCTATAAGCTATGTTTTATAGTTGCTTTGTAGTATTTAATAAAACTTAAAATGTTACTTGGGATATAATGACATTGATTTTTGAACTTGCAAACTCATCGGTGATTTTTTGCGACGTTGAGTTTTGGACGACAAAACTCTTAAGCTGGGTTTAGACAGGACAAGTCAATTGATCAAGTCAGTTGAATTCAACTGACTTGAACGCGAATTGAACTTGCAAACCACACCATTCAACTGACTTGATCAACTCACTTGAATTGCTCCGAGTTCAACCGAGTTGATCATTTGACTTGTGGCGCATGAAATAATGGATGAGATTTAAGTTTTTTGGAACATTGCAGTGTTGTTGTGACATATAAAATGAACGGTAGATATAGTGCGACAAATGTATTTCATTGCTCATGTGAAGCGGACCATGTTTTTTTTCACATTGTGCATATTTCAAATGATGTTAAAAATTTACGCTAGGCATAACGTTCATGCCTCCAGATGAAATTTAAAATTGGTTCTAAGACTGAAATTCTTTGAAGAGAATCCATCACACTTTCACACTCTAAGTGGAAAAGGGAAATAATCTATGAAATATAGGCAAAATGAGTCACAACAAGTGATTATTTTTTTTTTTCCTAAGTTTTCCATGCTGTACTTACTAAGTTTGAATCGTTCGCTCTTTATTTTATCAAATTCAATTTATTAGCTTGACTCTCGAAAGAATATGTTTGAAGAAAAGAAGATATGATGTCTTGTACTCGTTAAACTAACGTTTACGATACTATTCATGTTGAATCTGCACATTATTTATCAAACTCAAACGATTAGAACTTAGCACTTAAAAAGTACCATTAGACGGGTTGACATTAGGCCTACCGTATGCGTGATAATGTTTGCACCATCGTACAAATAAGGTTCCCAGTGGGTCACTCCTACCGTGAACCAATTATGGTACTCGTCGATGGCAAAGTTGGATTCTCCAGGACTCAGCGCTGCTCAGCGCACCTGTGCATACAATGCCTTGGTTTTCTTTGCATGCACATACCCTATAGCTCATAGTAGGCTGTGTATAAAAGAAAATGATTTAATTAGTTTGATAGTTGCACCATGATGAAGTGGCAGTGTATTTGTGATTTGTCCCACGCGCAAATGTCGCAAAAAACATTTCAATCGCCGTGGGAGTGTCCCGGTGAACCTTCAAAAGGGTTTAAGACCGAGAAAAGAAAAGACAGCTATTCGCGAAGGTGGCCACAGGTCGTCCGAGGTCAGCTCGGGTTCCGAGGGATATCGCTGCTATCAAAAGGAAGATTCGGGTGAATCCGTTCAATAATGGAAAATTGTAGGGTGAGATAGGGCCAACATTGAAAAATGTTTATGAATGCAGATATCTTGAATATACAGAAAGTTATGACAAGAATATGTTTCTTGAACTCCTGGAGAAAATTGTAGATAAAATAAACCAGTTGTTTTATTTAAATAGTTCTGTAAAGCTGAGCGGCATAAATAGTAGCGGAAACTCTTTTTTTTAATCTTCACAGCTAAACACAAATTTAAACACCCTTTTATGTGGATACACGCAATCTTTAGCCATTTATACAAAGTTCATTGTGATCATAACCAAGCTTACTCCTAATAGCTACGTTACATTCACACATTTTAAGATATTTTAACCAATTTAACCGTGGATTTGCTATATTGTCCTGCATTCCTAACCCAGACAACCAGAAGTTGTATAACAATGTACAGACAGTATCATAAATTGCTACAGCTTAAGTCAAAATCGCATGTAAGAACAGCATAACTCGCATTATGTTTAAGTTAAATCGTATAGAATGCAAATTTCCGACTTATATGCGATGATTCATTTTTCCGTCGTACTGTATCACAAATTAAATCGGATTACATCGTAAGACTTTTCAAAATGAATTTGTTATTACAGATTAAATTGCATAGGATGTTAAATAAACTCGTTTTCAATTAAAATAAAATATGCACGTATATGGCCTCCACTTTTGTACGTATAAGCCATTTCTTTGCATTCTATACGAATTGTTTGTTTGTATATATGTTTGTATATCAAGAAAACAGTTTTAAATATACGTGCATTCTGGTTGTCTGGGAAGCTCTTTGAATCTATAATAAATCAAAATGTTTTCACACAAGTTAAACATTTAATTACAGGCAAACAGTATGGTTTTGCTTGAGGAGGATCAAGGACTACTAATTGGTTGAATTTTGCAACATTTTCTATTAACGCCAAAGGGTAGGTCACTCCGCACACCAATATTGGGTCAATATTTTCTCAGTGTGCCGCAAGTGTACCGCTGGTTAGCCGATTGTGCCGACATTGCTGGACATAGAGCAAGCTGCGAATTTCTAAAAAAAAATACGAATAGTATGGTATATTTGACAACCCGGTATTTCTGACAGCTTGAATTTTTAGGCTTGCAATCGCAAAGGCCTCAAAAATGTCGAATATCGTGCTCGATAAAGACTTCTTTTACCGACGAACAAAACGCCTCTACACCAGCTGGAAGGAACCAGAGTTTTCCTATGATGATTCGCTGCAGGTGGATTGCATTCTCACGGCGGTCGGCGTAGACGAGGAAACCATCTACAGCAAAACAACCTCGCTGAAGACCTGGCTGCTAGTATAGGAGCTGATCGATACGATTACGGTGCTGTGCGAAAAGTCAATCTTTTTCCTGACCAGCAAGAAGAAGGCCGATTTCCTGAAGCAGATCCAATCGCGTACATCATTCCCTCAATCTAGCTAAATTGCTCTTGCATTACGGTTCGTAGTACACTCCATTTGCGTAGTAGCTGAAATACTTGTGACCGGCATCGATAGCAATCGACAGCCCTCTGAAATACACAGTCAAACAGCACGTAATGTTGTAAACAACTTCAATAACATCAGTCCAGCAATGCTCCCATTTTATTTAATAAACAATCCAATGCCTACGAGATTGTGTCGAAGATGTGCCGATGGATGTGCCCAAGCTGTGCCGAATCTACTTGGGGCACACTGTACTGAGTGACTTACCCCTTGATTAACGCAATGGATAAGGGACATTATGTTGAGGCACTATATACTGACTTCATTAAAGCGTTTGAAAGAGTTGATATCCCCCTTTTGCTATTCAAATTATCTAAGCTAGGTTTTGGTCAACAATTAGTAAAGTGGATTCATGCATACTTGACCCGTAGGACATGAAGCGTTAGATTTGAAGGAGATTTGTCGTCAGTATTTTTTTTTCTTTATTATAGAGATTTTTAGCCATAGGCTAGTTCATCTCTTTTTGTCGTCAGTAGTCAATGTAACATCTGAAGTGCCACAAGGTTCCCATCTTGGACCATTACTGTTTGTTCTATTTGTTAATGATGTGGAGCACATATTGAATACCCTGAATGACTCAATATATGCAGACGACATGAAACTTTTCCTGGAAATTCGTGAAACGTCTGATCTTGTAGTATTTCAACAAGAAATTGATAACTTATACACTTGGTACACAAAACAGTTTATTTAAGTTTAATGTGAAGACATGTAATTCCATTTCAATTACAAGGAAGAAAATTATTAGGCAAGAACATGTAACAAAAGGACAAAACAGAGTTGAAAGGTGCAATCAAGTTAGAGATTAAGGTGTTATACTAGATTCAAAATTAAGCTTTGTTGAACATTATCTACAAGGCAAGCAACATGCTAGGGCTTATTAAAAGGTTTAGCTTTAATTTCAATGATCTATACACAATCAAAACAGTATACGTTGCATATGTTAGACCCGTCCTTGAGTACTGTAGTATAGTCTGGGCTCCATATCAAGATAATCATATTCATTGAATCAGTTCAAAAACAGTTTCTATTATTTGCTCTAAGAAAGTTAGCCTGGACGAGTTTACCCTTACCATCTAATGAGTCTCGATGTATGTTGATTAATTTGGATGCACTTGAAAAGCGAAGGCAGTTTGCAATCATAGCCTTTATAAATGATGTTTGTAGCTCCCAATCGTTCCTTAAGAAACAACAGGTTTTGTATTAACATCCAAAGAACAAACTTTGCCAGGAACGCACCTTTAAATAGAATAATGCCTTGTTATAATGAACATTATGTAACACTTGATTTGACAATGAACACAAATGCTCTTAAAAAAAGTTTCTTTCTAGGTTAGTCAGAGATATTAAAAATTAAAACTAATAAAGATTTTAAGCGTTGTTTTGTAACTTAAACTGGTCTAGATTTGATTGCTGACGAATAAATAAATAAAATGTATGTTTTGGGACAATGTCACCCTCCAATGTAGCACGGAAACTAGTTCTAATTTATTGCCGGTTGATGGTCCTCAACTGCATTGCAAAGTGCTGCTCTGACCAAGAAAAAATAAATCCACTCGGCGCTAATGAACAGAAATCATCTGTTTCTAAAACAACTGCAACACTCGTATAAAAACACAATGAACCCACAACACAGCTTTGCTCAAAATATCTCAAAAGTAGCATGAAATCGTATAAAGTTTGCGGGCTGCTTTCGCTTCATCGAACGTCTCGAGGACTAATGAATAACAATCATTGATGAATATTTTCCGGCTATGCTGTTCTCAGACAAGTATCATTTCCAACAATATATCCCAAAAACCTCCAACAATTTCAAGCATGATGGGACGGTCTCAATCTTGCCCTGGTTGATTTATTTTTCCAATAAAGTACCACATGCTGTCACGCCCGCCAGAAGTCAAGACAAACAAATTGCGTTCGCTCAGCGTGAGGATTCGAATGAATTTTATGCTGATTGTGTTATTCTTTTCCCTACTTGTTTGCCGCCCTTTGGACCTTCAGAAAATGGTTTGAGGGAATTTCGGGCGTTCGTTCATCGTGAATTTTCCCGGGCTACATTAACATATCTATATAGGGTAGGTGTTCCAGTAATAGTGGTGTACCTATAGTTGCGGTATGGGGGTTGTGTCGGAATAGTAAGGGAAAACCGGATAAGGTTATTTTTCATCGATAGCATTTTTCAAACTTAAAATTTGCTTAAGATTTTTACTCTTTTGCACGTATAGTTGCGGGAGTGTTTCTGTAATAGTTAGAAACCAATGCGTTCCATTATTATAGGAACCAAAGTTAGCAACTACTACTAATACTGGAACAGTGTTCCTATTAATGGAGGACACGTTTTCGAGAAACGTATACAATTTAATTACGATGTAATATTTTTCTAGCGAAATACAAATTGAAAGCTATAGTTTGATGTAGAAAAATTGTAAGTACATCGTTTATTATATTTTTAATCAATAAATTGTCTTATTCTTCCACTGCTGGCTCACCCACCCTATGACCAATATATTTTCTTCCGACAAAATTAAATATCTTTTCCATTGCCCTGATATTAGATTTTTATCCACCAGGATAAGTGAAGTCCAAAAGCGATTATTGATCTCTGTTTTACTTCCAGTGTCCTCTTCTCCCTGCCACACACAGGTCAAGTGAGGCTTACCCAAAGAAGGTTAATGGTTGGAATGCAAATCAGGGGATAATCTAAGCAGCATTGCATACTCACACAAACACATACCATTCTTGTCGGTTGGTTCCACGTTAACGGGAATGAAACTGGCACGCAATTTGTGGAATGGTAACTATGGCTAGATTAATGCTCGTTCACGAGCTGAAACTTTATGGGAAGCATCCAGTTCAATAGCGAGAGACAGAACAACGGTGGAGATCCCTATAATTTGCATAGGTAAGTTGAACAGGGTGAGCTAGTAAGGAGGCAGACGACGATGTGATCCGACAAACTGCGTAGACACGGATAACTGTGGGAGGTGACAAATTATCTCGGTATTCAAAGTGAACCGCTTAATGGGAGATTGAAATATCGTGCAACGGCGTAGCTAATAGCTTGTAATTAATACGTTGTCTTGGCGTTAAATGCAATTTCTCGTGATTTCCAGTTACATTTTATTGGTGTATGCAGTCGAATTTCAACAAGGAAGAGCATGAGTATGTTTGGTTGCTACTTAGTGTATATGATGCTTAGGTAGGTAAATTAATGAATTTGGTAGGAATCCCGAGTAGAATTTTTACTATTGCTAAAGTTGAAATGGATTTGCATTGCATAAGAGGTACAATATCAAGAAATAATAACAAAAAATAGCCTGCCAAATACCATTTTATAAACAAACCGTGATATTTGCATATCAAACGAAAACTTAAACTTTAGTACTTTGTTAATGATTTGATAATAAATTAATGATTTGATAATAATTCATCTGCTCAGTAAGCAAAAACGGTCACTTAAGGCCACCGAGCCCTATAGTCGCTTTAGCTCACCGAGCCCCTTATATTATGCAACTTATGATGAAGTTGTTGTTGTACGTCAAACCTCGATGACAAATCACTAGATGAGAAAACAATAAGAGTCTTAAACTCATTAAAATGAAGGGTCTGGGAATGATCTCATGATTTGCTTCTCAGTAAGCCAAAATGGCTGCCTAAGACAGCCGAGTCTTCGTCCGAATCCCTCATACCACAAGGCTCCACTTATGATCGAGTTGATGCTATAACCAGGCTTCCAAAAAGTACAGCCTCCTCGCGACAGTTGGTTTATACCTGAATTGACTGTTGCTTTGTATGGTTTACTACCGCTTGCTACCGTACATTCAGATCTGAATTCGAAGTGTATTGGCAACAGCGCACGCACCAACGAATGAAAGCTGTATTAGAACAGTCGCATCTATACCCGCTTTGCTAAAATCATCGTGCTTGGAACGTAGTGAACCGAATGGGCTGTATTTATACATTTCTTTATGACCAGGTTCTCAATGTTCCTGTCGTCATAACAGCCTTCACAAACCGACGACATCCCTCAGCTTACTCAAGTGGCTGTCACGAAAAGGCTGTCACGAGACATTATATACAATTGATATACGGTTTTCTTTGATTTGTTTTCCGTCGATCTTGTTTTCCGTGCTGAGCACCAATGCTACCGACGCCAGGAAGGCAGCTCCCACACCTGGACCCTAACTATCGACCCATCAACTCATGAACCGGGGACCAACGGCTTTACTTCCCTTCCGAAGGAAGGCGTGATCAGAGATGTTATGCCTCAGAACATCCCGGCGGCGCCGACTGGGTTTGAACCCAGGCCTGCTGGGGTGAGAGATAATCACGCTTACCACTACACCATCGGCGCCTCTAATTGATATACGGTAGTAGAGTATGGAAGAAACCCAGAAGAATGATCCCGAACAGATATGTCGGCCCGATGTCGGATCAATGTAAGGTCAATTTACGGTCGACGTCGGCCAAATGTCGGGTCGATGTCGGGTCAATTATGTGTTTATGTCGGGTCAATGTTGGGCCAACATCGGGTTGGGGTTTGGTAGAAGTCAGGTTGGTGTCGGGTAGGCTTATGTTTTTCGCCGGAGACCGTGCGTTTTAAAAAAAATATTGGATGAAAATTTTGCAATGGGCAGCACGAACTATAGCAACCGAACGAGCTCCGGCGCCACACTGGTAGTGTAGTAGCAGTTTTACGACATAGGGTATACGTCCCTAACCTCGGTCTAATATGCAGCCATAGATTACGTTTTTAATCATAACTCATCAATTAATTTACCTGCAAACGATATTCTACTGCTAAATGGTATGCTTAGA